TGCTTTCTTGAGGTCAAGGGTTCAAGTCCCCCTTTCCCCCCCCCCCCCCCCAAAAAAAAAAAGATTAGTACGATTTGTTGTATCGACATACTAATGTAATTGTTGGTACGCTAATGAATAGTCCCCAAAAAGCATACCTTTTGTTTTCTCAACTCCTTCTCATGCTTTATCATAAGAAATAGTGAGTCCATAATTAGAAAAAAAATCAGCAACCACTTCCGTTGGACGTGTTGTGTTATGCCCACGAACACGATCAACAATCAAATCTGTAATCAATTTAAAACTTATTCTCTTGTTATTTGTCGTTTGTAGATCCACACCACAAATATTTTTGTTGTCCAATTTCCTAATATAAAAAAAAATCAGTAGTTTTCTCCACTGTTACACTGATATACCACCCACAACCAGAATAATACTTAAATGAACACTCAATAATAACCCTTACTTTACAATTTTTTACATAATTAAATTCAAAATCAGACTCAATCGAGTATTTGCAAAGTGTTTGCCGAAACTGTATCAGACCACCTTCAAATTTCTGTCCTACGTGTTGTATTTCATTACTCCACCCAGTGTTAGAAGAACTTTCTCATTGTGACCAATAAAACTGGGTAACAAATCTACTTCACATTCAACAACATCACCCATGTTCACATACTACAAAGAATCATTATCACCCACCGACCCGCCCTCAATATCTTCCACAAACACCTTAATTTCAACATAATTTCCTAGGAAACTTCGTTTCAATTCAACCAAATTCTTCAAATTCGCATCGGTGCGCAACATGCAAGAGGAGTGACCAGGAATAGAATATGACATCTGTACTAACAAATTAAACAACTTCTCCCACGTCTCACAAACTTCACGAACAAATTCTGATATATTTGTATTATCACCTACTTTGAATACTTTAGTAGCATTATCGTATGTACATAACATCAACATTGTTTTCTCCATTGCCAAAATCTCTCAAATTATTAAAAGAATAGATACAATAAAAGTCAAATGAAAAACATATATTCAAAGAAATAAATACTGAAAATATTTATACATTAACGCATTTAGTATGTTAATAGGTTAACATACTAAAAAAATGAAAACTTCAAACCTTGTAATTGCTGTTACGTAATTGTCAGGCTTTAGGTTTCTGCTGGAAAATATGTAAAAATTTTCATCCTTCAGGCTTCATGATACATTATATTTGTCATGTGGATGAAGAAGAATATCGGCTTGTAGGTGGATGAAGAAGAAGCAAAAGAAAATCAGCTTGCAGGTGAAAAAAAAAAGAAGCAAAAATTGGCTTCATGCTTTAAGTAGAAAACTCGGCTTCATGTAGAAATATACCAGTGTATATTTCTCTTTTAAAAAACTAAAAAAAATAGTGTATTCAAAATTTAAGATTTTTTAGAAAGTGTTATATTTCTCTCTCATAAAACTAGGAAATATTTAATACACAAATATAATTTGAAAACTAAACATTTTCCAAAAAAAAAAAAAAATACACATTGACCATGGAGGATAAAAATGTCACAATAAAATCAGAAAAATTCAAATAATGTACTTTGATACAAATAAGTATCAAAATTAAGAACTTAAGAATCCTACATTTTTTTTGTGTATTTTTATACAATTAAATCTAATTTGGTGTACCCCTTCCAATTTCCCCTCCCCCCAAAAAAAAAATCAATATAAACTTGATCGAATGGTCTATCGTTGGGCTTGCTCTAGCCCTACCGATCGTCTTTGGTACAAGCTGAACTCATTTGGTTTTCTCTTTTTTTTTTTTGGTTAATAGTATTTTTAGTTCTTAAATAATGTATTTTTTGTTAATTTAGTTATCATTGTATCAATTTTGTCAATTTTATCCAAAAAGTATTTAATTCATGTTATTTTGATCTCCATATAGACAGATCGTTAAATTTTTAACAGAACGATCACGTGTTGTACACATGATACTGTCTAAAAAAAATGATGCGTAATCACTTCCATAAAAAAAACTTGATAGATAATTTGATTAAAGACCAAAGTGATACGGATTGAATACTTTAGGGATCAAATTAATAAAATTGATACAATAAGGACTAAACCGATAAAAAATACATACTTTAGGGACAAAGTATGCTATTAACCCTTTTTTTTGTATTAATTTTTTGATTCTTCTCACTTTATACTTTGTACTGGACTTTTAATTTTTATTATAAAATATTTTAATTCCTAAATTACATTTTTAACATTACAATGTGACATTGACTCAAACAGTCTGTTGTACTATTTTGTTTTAAATTGTCTATTGAGCTTTCAATAGACTTAATTTATCTCATTGACTATGTAATTTGTTTCAATTAATCTTTTTATTAAAATAAATAAATAAATTTTGTTAAAATTAACTATTAATGAGACAAAATTTATTAATATTAATCATTAATTTGCTTGATTTAACTGTTAATCTTAATGAAAGGGAGTCGATTGAAATAAATTACATACCTCAATGGGTAAACTAGGATAATTGAAAGTTCAAGAGTAATTAAATCAAAGACCATAATTTAGGGAGTATTTATAAAATTTATCCTAAGGGAAGGTAAATGATAGTTTGGGTCAAGATTTTGTCTATTTTTCACGATCTGATCAAAATAGAAATATATGATTTAACATAGATTAATTGGGCTATATCTAGTTAATCTAATGGTAAAAATCAACAGGGGTGTTCAAATTTTTCATTATCCTTAAAATTCGATCTTACCTTATTTTATCAGACCTTATCGATCGGCTACTCAAAAGAATTGGGTAGGTCAATAGAAGATCTTTTGGTAGTCTGTTAAAAATTGAGTAGGAATGCGAAATACTTATAAAATTTTCGAATTCCTACTCAATTTTATCTGCATATAAATCCCTAAAAATTAAAATTCAAAAATTTAGAAACCCTAATATTTTGTTAATGTTTATGACTTTCTTACAAATGATGTTTATAATTTTCTTGTTAAATTATATTATAATATTTTATCAAATTTATTGTATTTTTTTAACTGTTATTAGTTTATTGGATTAATTAATTAGTGTAAATTACTTAATTAAATTATTAAAATAATTTTAAAATTAATAACTAAAAAATATGTGCTCATTATCGAATAGAATGATAAAATATATAATTCTGACATATCGCCCCTAAAAATCAATAAAATGCTAAATTAAAATTATTGAAAGTGCAGCACCAAATTCTATCTTGCTGAGCTCCACAGTTCTGTGTGTGTGAGAGAGAGAGAGTGAGAGGGAGAGAGAGAGAGATGGGGAGGAAGAAGGGAGTAGTATTCGACGAGAGCGCACCGGATGACTTCGATCCGGAGAATCCGTACAAGGACCCGGTGGCGATGCTGGAGATGAGAGAGCATTTGGTGAGAGAGAAATGGATCGACATCGAGAAAGCCAAAATCCTCCGCGAAAAACTCAAGTGGTGCTACCGAATCGAAGGCATCAATCACCTTCAGAAATGCCGCCATCTCGTGCAACAGTACCTCGACGCCACTCGCGGCATCGGCTGGGGCAAGGACGGCCGCCATCCTTCCCTTCACGGTCCGTTCATCCACTCGCTCTCTCTCTCCCTCTCTCTCTCTCTCTCTATATATATATATATATATATGTATGTGTATATATAAATATGAGATATATGTATATATATCTATGTATGTGATCTGTCCCTCTTTTTTTCTTTGTCTAGGGTTGTTTGTTTGATTTGTTGTGCTTTGGTTTTTCTATGGGAATTATAGGTCCTAAGATTGAGGCAACGGCGGAATGACTGGCTGCTTGTCTTCATCGGGGTATTCTCTCCATTTCTACTGATTGCAATTGTTTTCGATTTCTTTCTAGAATTTTTGATTCAGCTCTTTCTCTATCTGTTTTTCCTTTTGCTTCAGTCTCTATTGGTTTGGTGACTCTTTGGAACAGAAATTGGTGACTTGCTTTGTTTTGATCTTTTTTGTTTTGACTGTGAGAAACGTGTTGTGGAAAATGTTTGATGGAGATTCAAAATATGTTTTTCTTCGTATTTAAGAATATGATTATCATGATAATCGTATTTAAGAATATGATTATCATGATAATCGTATTTATGATTGTATGATTATCATGATTATTTAGAAATGTTAAATATGTAATGCGAATGTGCAATTCCTATTTATACTCAGTGTGTTTATTGTTAAGTACATGCACATTAGGATGACCAAAACAATGTAAACTGTTAATTTTTGGAAATTTTCATGGAGCTGTTCTTCTACGTAATAAAACTAAGTATGGTTTTAGGTTGCAAAATAGCAAAAATATGTCTCCTTCGGAAATTTTAAAATTAACAATTTTTTTTGTATGATTATATATTTTAGACAAAACCATAGAGAATGATGGCCAAGCACATATTGTTTCAATGGTTATAATTTAAACAAGGGCACGAAGTTATGTGACCATCTTTTCTGATATTGCTGAGCACAAGTAGAGATACCAGATTCATTCTTCTTATTAGATGCATATGACACACATGCACGCACGCCCGCGCACACACACACTTGCACATTTTTATTGATGTTTCCTCAAGTTTGAGTTACAGTGTGAAAAAGCTACAGTTTAATAGATACTAATCTTGGAATTTAGTTTAAAAAGGTCATCTGATATTGCTACATCTCTAGTGCCAGTAATTTTTCTCATTATGTGAGATTTCAATAGGAAGAAAGATATAGAAATTAATATGTCTTAACTTTACTCACCTGGAAGAAAAAGAAATTAATATGTCTTTACTATGCAGTGGCTCACTTAAAGCTTGGGAAGATCGTATTTGCCTTTCATTAGTGCCTTCATTACTATAATTGAAGTATGCACGTATAAAATTGTAGGCATCTTGAAGGTTGCAAAGATTCCACTAATGGTATTGGCACGATAGTCTAATTGTTTTGAAGTAAATATGGTTATTGCAATATTGGTGAAAATGTAAGAAGTTTGGACTCTTTTAAGAAGTTGTCAAATTCATGCTGGAGACCAAAGAAACTTTGGAAGTATGTTTCAAAATTCCTTTAGTTTTTATACATGAATTGTAGTAATAGGCCAGGGGCATTTTTTGGTTTGGTGTCCGGTAATTGACATTGTTTGGGGGGTTCGTTTGAGCACAATTATAATTTTTCGCATTATTTGCACAGACTATTTTTAGTTTTGAATCTGTGAACTAGGGGCTGCTTGATTTGGGAGATGTCACAAAGAGTATGAGAAGTCTCATGTACCAATGAATAGGCAAGACTACAACTAATCTTTTGCTCATCTTAGTGGCAAATTCATCATTATCTATGCTGTTGAGGATATCGTAATCAAATTCCACAACTTTGTCCACTTGCCCCCACCAATTCCATTCTCTTTGTGAACTTCAACGGAGCTTTCCATTTGTGTGCCTTGCCTGTCAGCATATGACTAATGACTCCCTAATTTCTCTCTCCCCTGTCTTTCCGGGGCTTAGAATTGAGTGTTTCTTTTTTGTTTTTTTTTTTTTTTTGGAGAGAGAACTTGGGTGTTTTCTCATGCCCTTCTTGTGTACTCTGATTGATCCTCTTCACTGGCGCTGTGGTAACATTCCCACCCTTCACTTCCTAGGTGGTCGGAGATGGTGGTTGATACACCCTCTCTCTAGCTGGTTGTATTTATATGTATGTGTATAACTTTTCTTTATAAGTCAATCAATTTTAGTTTTTATAAAACCCATAGGTAAAAAGACAAAACACTCAGTTTCTTTCAGTTTTTGTTACTAACAAATACTAAAAGGGGATGTTCTTGTAGTTTTGAGTTTTAGTTGATAAAGTATGTCCTTGTTATGATAATTTGTAGGAGTGTGCATGAAAGTTTTTCTATTTATAGTGTTATTTACTTTGTCCTAAGTAAATATTATCACTATTGTGACTACATAACACTAAATCTTTAAAATTATAAGTCATAATATTTAATCATCAATCATCTAGTTATATCAAAGCAAAATAAAGTACACAAGTATGTTAGGTTTTCTCATCCTTTCACACCCAACCTTTAGTTATCCTTGAATTATTTACTTTTAAGTAAAAATATTGGGAGTAAATTTTATATGGCCTTAATTATTCTTCGGCATTTTACTTTTTTTCATCATATCATATGATAAATTCATGTACTAACTTTAGAATTATACCGTCCAAGAAGTGTTCTAAATTAGTAGCTTATATATATATATATATATTTTGTATGGAAACAATCAAAGAGGTCTTATACACGTGCCCAGGAAGTGTTGATGTCCGACGCATAAATTGGTTTTGCTAGGTAACAACTAACAAATTTGAAGCGTTAAGGATATTACCAACTTTTTATCACAGAAAAAGTATAATAGTAATGGGTAGCCTTGATAAAGGTAGAAAAAGCCAAAGATAAAAATTTCGTTTTGTTAGAGCGAAACATGCTGGATTTCATGAAAATCGAAATGAATCGGTGGTTGAATATTGAAATTCGTATGTTTAAAGATATTTCAGTAAGGTAAGTTTCGACTAATGTTTTTGAAACAAACTTTTTATATTTTCTCTGTTCCTAGTTTGTCTAAAATGTTGCCATATCTCTAAAAAACTTATAGTTCCGTATTAACCAAAACTATGCAAGAAAACGCAATGTTCATGTATAAGGTCTATTGGAAAAAAAAAAATAGTTAAGTCAAATGATGGAGAATGGGAGGATAAAAGAAACAATCATGGTTATGTATGCTTGCTAGGCTTTGTCCATATAACTTTGTGATGATGGGTTATTGTAAGATTTACTTCAAATGGTTACTATAGATTCTATTGATATGGTTATCTATTGATAAACTATATAACTTATATAACTATAGATTCTATTGATATGGGTATCTATTGATAAACTATATAACTTACATTATAAATTCCATATATTGGGTGTGCCCCATATTTGTTAGTATCGTATGATACGTCACGATACAGGCCTAAATCGATACGAATCGTAGTTATGTATCATTTTTGCATTGTATTGTCCGATACATGATACGTTTTTACAATACGATACGTATCGGTACAATACGCACGATACGTAAAGTCGCTATTGAAATTTTTTTTTTTTTTACAGCCTGATTTGCACTAGAGAGGAAGACACCGAAGCAAAAACAACAGAGATGAAGTCACCGAAGCCAACAGAGATGAAGACACCGATGTCCACAAATCAGAGAATAGAGAAAATGTCAAAAAAAAGACAATAGAGATGAAGAAGACAAGAATTATCAGGCAACAAATCAGCAAAAACACCCAAGCAAAAGCAAATCAAACATTTTTGAAATTGAAAAAAATAGCAACATTAACTTGTAAATTTCGGATGAAACCCCTAGGTCTCACGATCTCTCGCTCCGTGTCTCACGATCTCTATCTCTTTGTCTCACGATCTCTCTCTTCATCGCTATGAGCTGCGACCACAAGGTACCATTGTTCTTCTTCTTCCTCTCTCTCTCTCTCTCTTCGGCATCGGCATCGCTCTCGCCTCTCGCCCCTTGCCTCTTCTCTCTGGCTCTATGTGTTCATTCGTGAGTCGTGGGTAGACTCACGACTGTGTGTTTTTTTTATAAAAATGAAAAATTATATTTAATACCCCTTACATTATAACTTTTTACTTTTAAGTATACATAAGTATCATTAATTTAATTTGATATCCTTTATTATTTTTTTAATATTAGTAAATTATATTGGTGACTTGAATAGTAAGTGGAATATTAATGAAATGTTATGTTTTTATGAGTTTATGATTTTTTTCAAAAGTATATATATTTTATTATTAATTATTTAAAATGACGCCGTATCTCACGATACGATACGATACATCTTCCGATACGAGATTTGATAACTATGGTGTGCCCAGCATTAAGAAAACTTCTCTGCTTAATTCACAAATCTATCTCAATGACCACTACTTTATATACGAACATACACTGTATGACCTTTTTGCAATTGAAATAACACACAAAAACCAAAAGTAAAAAGACAAAGGAGTATGAACTTTTTAATATAATGCTTTGTTCCTTCAATGAATATGTAAATTTGACTATTTTGGCCATCTATATTTTTAAAAGTATTGTTGGCACAACCCATGAAAATGTGTTACCAATATACACACACACACACACACGTTGGGATTGAGTGTTGGGTAACTAAGAAATAACATGTTCAAAAATTAAGAGTGGCGAAAATGAGAATGTTGATGGATGTGCGGTAAAATTAGGAAAGATAGAATTAAGAACGAATATATTTGTAAAAAAGTGGAGGTATCATATATAAGAGATAAATTAAGGGAGAATTGACTTTGGACATATCGATAGATGACCTACTATGACACCGGTGAAAAAGAGTGCTATGATAGTAATTGATGATAAACGTAGGGGTAGAAGAAGATCAAACTTAATTTTAAATAAAAGAGAAAAGAATGATATGATAGTTTATGGTTTAACAAAAAATGTGACCCTTAATAGAGTACAATGATGAAACATGACTGTATAGCGGACCCAAAAAATGTTGGAACATGACTTTATTGAGTTGGGTATTTGTTGGTTGGGAGTGGGACTATCATGCCTAATTTTGCTTAGAAAGGTTACTTTTTAGATTCAAAGTGGTCTTTGGAAATAAGAGATCCATTGGTGTCACGTCTTCGTGTTTATGATTGTACATGCAATGGGATCATGATGAGACTTAGTTTTATTTGTTCATATCTGCACAAAAATGTTCACAGGATGATAGTCAGTGGTTGGAAGTGACAGAGAGGGTTTCGATCTCTTTCTTGTGG